CACAGATCGCCAGGAGGATGTGCACTGCTTAGCTGTGATCCACAGACCATAGAGCTCTGAGAAATGGGAGCAGATGCTCCTATGGATGAAATTTTCCATGCTTTCGAATGTGCTGTAATAAAATGAGCTCTACGCTGGGGGTTATGTGTAAGTGATGAAGAACTGAATTCTACTCCTGAAACCAATGTTGTACTGTATGTTAACTAACTTGAATTTAAATAATAAAAAAAAAATGAGCTCTAGCCTGAGAAAAATAAGGCCTGGTTTCTGGTTCCATGTCAGTCGTTTTCTGTGAGGTAAGTCACTTAGTTTAATTATGCCTTGGTTTCTGCCCTGAGTTTACTGATAACAAACACTGAGCATTTGCCATATTCTAAGCATTTGTAAGACACTGGAATACCTAATTTCATCCATAAGTAGATCATTTCAACATAATATGGTAGATCAAATGGCAAAGATATCCTGAAGTTGCTAGAGGAGCAGAACAAAGCATATGGAGTCTGAGCTATAAAAGGATTCACGGTACCCTTTGTCCATGATAAAATTTGCAAATATTATTCCCCATTTGTCATATATCATGGTACCCCTCCTACCTATTTCACAGATGGGAGGTGAAAGTGAAGTAACATTGGTGAAGGTGCTCAGTTGATAAAAATACAACTCATTGCATCACTCTTAGTGGTATTAGTTGTAGAGAGAAATAGTAGAGACAGTGGCAGTAGTAAAAAGAAAATATATGTGAAATTAAGGTCAGAGTTAGACAAGATAGATTAATAGACTGAGCAAAGGAACAGAGTAGAACTCCAGAAATGCAAGTGTCTGTGTACAATGAAGTTGATATCTCAAATTATTGGGGGAAATACAGACTTTTAAATAAGTTAGTTTGCATAACTTGATAGTTACATGGAAAAAAGATAAAATTGAGTTCACTCTTTTTTTTTTTTTTAAGATTTTATTTATTTATTTGACAGAGACAGACATAGCGAGAGAGGGAACACAAGCAGGGGGAGTGGGAGAGGGAGATACAGTAGGCTTTCTGCCGAGCAGGAAACCTGATGCAGGACTCGATCCCAGGATCCTGGGATCATGACCCGAGCCAAAGGCAGATGCTTAACGACTGAGCCATCCAGGCATCCAAAATTGAGTTCACTCTTAAAACCGATTTTACTTTTTAAAAAAGATTTTATTAATTCATTAATTTGAGAGAGAGTAAATGGAGGAGCAGTGGGAGAGGGAGAGAGAGAATCTCAAGCAGACTCCATGCTGAGCATGGAGCCCGATGTGGGACTTGATCCCACAACCTGAGCCAAAATCAAGAGTCAGAGGCTTAACTGACTGAGCCAGCCAGTTGCCCCAAAACCTATTTTAATACAACTTCCAAATGGGTCAGAGATGTAAGGGTAAAAAAAAAAAATGAAAGAATATGAATACTGAAAGAAAATATGAGTGAATATCTTTATAATCTGGGAGTAAGGAAAACTATTCCAACATAATTAAAAATCTAGATGCAATTAGGGAGAAGATTAATAAATTTTATTATAAACATAACCCCCCACCAAAAGAGACAAAACAAACAAACTTAAAAATCTTGTGTGTAGAACAAAACACAGGAATCAAAGTTAAAAGATATATGATAAATGGGGAATAATATTTGCAAATTTTATCATAGATGAAGGGTTAACATCTACAATATAGAAAAATCTTCTGGGCACCTGGGTGGCTCAGTTGGTTAAGCGACTGCCTTCGGCTCAGGTCATGATCCTAGAGTCCCAGGATCGAGTCCCGCATCGGGCTCCCTGCTCGGCAGGGAGTCTGCTTCTCCCTCTGACCCTCCTCCCTCTCAGGCTCTCTGTCTCTCATTCTCTCTCTCTCAAATAAATAAATAAAATCTTTAAAAAAAAATCTTCTAAAAATTGAAAGAAAAAGTCCACAATCCTATAGAAAAAAATGGACCAGTGTATGAACAGGTAAGGTAGTTCACTGAAAGAATTACAAATTGTTCTAAGCAATGAAAAGACGTTCAACTTTTCTCATAATAAGAGAAATGCCAATTAAAACTTTTGCAAGGTACCATTTTCCACCCTCAAGTTGTCAAAAATCCAAAAGTTTGACAATATTACTTTGCTGGAAAGACTATGGGAAAACAGGCATTCTCATACACTTTTGGTGGAAACACAATGGTACAACCACTATGGAAGGGAATTTGCCAAAATATAGCAAAATTGTGTGTAGATTTACTTTTCGACTTAACATTCCTATTTCTAAGAATCTATCCTAAGCTAGGGGAAAAAATGCAAAGAGAGGATCACAACAGGCTATTCATTAGAATCAACTTAACACAGCAAAAGCAAAACAACTACACCTGAATGTCCATCAATATGAGGCTGGTAAAATAAAAAATGGCTCATTACCCAATAGAGAACCAGGCAGCTATAAAAAGGAATGGGGCATATTTTTATATACAATTATGAAGCAATCCCTAGGTTACATTAAATGAGAAAAGTAGGTGAGAAGAGTGAATAATATGCTATTGCTTATATAAGAAGGAGAGAAAATACATACATGGAGACATATACACACACACATAAACAATTTTAATATTTTCCCTTATTACATAAATTGGAAAGATAATTCTTTAAAATATGTAAATAGATGCCTAAGGGAATAGGAGAGGATATAGGAATATAAACAGACTTTGTTTCCTACATGAATTTTAGATACATGAAACTATTCCCATGACTTAAAATTAAATTTCAAAAATATGTCTAAGTATAAAGAAAAATGGAACAAATACATTTAATTGTACATAAAGTTAGTGATATAACCAGACAGAGAGAAACTATAATAAGTAACTTTAGAACATAATAATTTTGGTGTACATTCCTAGGGATTATAACATAAAGAAAAAAAAAAAGACCTTGCAAGGATTTTGAAACTGTTTTCAATAACCATACTGGGGATGCTGGTGTCAAAGACTACTGAGTCTTCGAGAGAAAGCAAATGTGTGGAGGTATTGCTGTCATTGAGAACTGGGATTCTTGGCCTGGGAAGTTGGAGGAAAAGGTCTGAGTTTGATAGGATAAGGCAAGATCATTTGGCACTGGTTTTGATTAGGGTATTAGTATAGTCCAAAATGTATGTTATCCTAGAAAGAAAAAAAAAATAACATTTTCTAGCTTTGTGCACAGAAAAGCCCAGGAACTATGATAGACTAAGTAGCATCGAGCATCCCCATAGCCAAGATTATAGTCTCTAAATGCCACTATGCGTGGGAAGGAAACACCGTTTTTTTTTTTTGGAGAAAGATGATTCTAAGTTCAGGGCAGAAATGATGACCACAGAATATGTTGTTATACCAGAAAGCAAGAAAGCCACTAAAGACAACAGAGGCTTGTCTGAAGGACTCGAGTCAGACACCAACACAAAGGGGACCTCACTGCCCAAATATAGAACAATTTGAGCATCGACAACTGCAGTGGATCGAAACTTACTGAAAATTTTAAGTCCATAAATTAATAATAATAGTTTAAAAAAATCATCCAACAGGTCACCTCTGGAAGATACTGAATCTCAACTCATTAATTTGAAAGTCTAAAAAATAGAGGAAAAGAATTAAACATTTGTTTTCCTTTTCTTATATAAACCATACTTCTGTGTAACTGAGTAGTTAATGAGGAGATATTTCTCTCTATAGATTTACTTCAGCTAATAATGGAGGAATAAATATAGACTATCACTGCCTTGCAATCCACAGTGGAGTATGGACTTAAGCAGAAATTATCAGTGGGTGCTGATACTGTAAAGACAGATAATCAGACATCTCTCATCTTCATTGAAGTACATAAACCATCTATGGAGGAATTATGTAAAAAAAAATCTTAATCTGATCAAGCATCCAAGTCTTTCAGATAATTAAAAGGAATTAAGGAGAAACACCTGTTGCGTGACAACATGTGGATATAATCAGTGAAATCCAGACTATGAGAAATGCTCTGTGGAATGTTCAGATTTCTTTAAAAAAATGAAAAAAAAAAAAACCCAGAAATGAAAGAGGAATATAGATGACGTAAGGGGCATATCTGTCATTTGGAATGTATGGACCTTATTTGGATTTGATTTGAACAAAACAAAATACACAAATTTAAAAAATGGAAACAGATTTTAACAGTGAACAGATACTCAATGGTATTAAATTCTCTCTCTCTCTTTCATTGTGTGTGTGTGTGTATGTAATAATGATGTGTGAATATGTTTTTAGAAAAGTATGTCATTTACACACTTGCACACAAATGAAATACTATAATATTTTTTATTTTTCAATTTTTTAAATTTAAATTTTAGTTAACATACAGTGCAATATTGGTTTCAGGAGTAGAATTCAGTGATTTATCACTTACAGACAACACCCAGTGCTCATGCCAACAAGTGCATGTTTTAATACCCATCACCCATCTGGCCCATCCCCCACCCATCTCCCTCCATCCACCCTTAGTTTCTTCTCTATCTTTGTCTAAATAGATGTTTTATTTCCCTTCCTCCTTTTTTTCTTTTCCCCCTTCCCATATGTTTATCTGTTTTCTTTCTTAAATTCCACATCTGAGTGGTATGGCTGTAGGGTATTTGTCTTTCTCTGACTGCCTTATTTCACTTAGAAATGCTATAATATTTTATTATTGCTTCAAAATTACCAGGTGGGATCGGGAGAGAGTGAGTGGAGTTGATGATAGTTGAAGCTGAGCGTGCATAGATGATTTTTTTTTACTTTTGTTTTTGTTTAAAACATCCGATTATTAAACTGTTTTGAACAAGGGAAACCTAAAAGATGTTAGAGATTGTTGATATTCTTGCAGATTTTGCTGTTCTCAAGTGTAGTAGCTAGCAAAATCCACAAATTCTGTGAGTTGAAAGAGAAGTTACAGGGGATCAAAGATGAAGATGATCAAGTAGATCAAGAAAACCATAAAAATAAAAAAAAATAATGTGAAGTATGATTTACTTACATTTTTCTGGCTGATAAATCAAGTTACAGTGCATCATATGAAGAGTTATCAAAGCCATAAGTGTAGACATAAAAGGAATGAGTAAAACCAGGGCCCAGGCCCCTGAGTGCTGGATGTAAGATATTCCCAGAAAGACAACAGTTGCTTTCAGGTTCATGATCCAACAAAACCTGTGATACATAGACAGACAGAAATAAAAAGTCCATTCAGTTACTTCAGAGAACAATTGCTAATTTTAATGCTTTGATATAAATGTAAGCTATGAGGTGGTGGCCTGTTAGCTGAACTAGAATTTGTGAATATCGTTTATTAGACTTCTTTTTTTTTAAAAAAGTGTTGTGGAACTAGAGAAGCCATAGACAATACTTAATCAAATATGTCTAATGAATAGTACCTATAGCAGTAGTCTGGTTTGTAATTTTGGGACATAATCTATGTCTCTCAACCTTTCATTGGGTCTAAATCCCTGCTATTAGAATCCCATTGCAGAGGAGGGGTCTTAACACTAATTTTACAAATTTATTGAAGTTAAATTAGATACAATAAAATACCTGCTTGAATATATAGTTTTATGAGTTTTGATAAATTTTTCAGTTGGGCAAACACTAATAGATCCAAATTTTAGAACACTTAACATTATCACTAAGGTTTAAAGGGCCTACCTGGTTAGATCAGGCCCACCCAGGATTCCAGGATAATCTCTTCTTTGATTAATTTAAAATCAAATTATTAGAGACATTTTTTAAAAAAGATTTTATTTATTTTAGAGAAAGAGAGAGAGAGAGAGGTAGAGAGAGTGTGCGAGTGGCAGAAGGAGCAGAGGGAGAGGGAGAGAAAGCCTCAAACAGACTCCCTGCTGAGCAAGGAGGCTGAGGGGTTCCATCCTATGACCCTGACATCATGACCTGAGCCAAAAGCAAGACTCGGATGCTTAACTGACTGAGCCACCCAGGCGCCCCTAGAGACTTTAATTATATTGCAAAATCCCTTCACTTTTGCCATATAACAACATAATCAGGGGTTGATAGCCTGTTGTCTCTGCCATATTCTATTGAGAGGAGTCAAGTCACAGGTTCTGCCCAGACTCTAGGGGATGGGTCTGTCAAGAGTGTGACCACTCAGGCTCATCCTATGGCATTTCCTCTACATGTTCTAATTATTCCATTCTTCCTTCTTTCCTTCCTCCCTACCTTCCTCTCTGTCTCTCCTTCCCTCCTACCCTCTTTTCTTCCTTCATTCCTCACTCCCTCCTACCCTCCTTTCTTCCCTCCCCTCTTCTCTCCTCCCCTTCTCTTCACTTCCCTCCCTTCCTTTCCCTCCCTTTCCATCCCTTTGCTTTCCCTTCCCTCCTCTCCTCTCTCTTCCCTTCCCCTCCCCTCCCTTCCCCTTTTCCTTCCCTTCCTTTTTCTTTCTTCCTCTAAGTGAAAGAAGAAACAGAGTCAACCGGTAAGAATGGCTATGGGGAGAGGATATTGAAGGTTTGAGGAGAAAAGAAAAGGTTAGAACTCATCTAAAGGAGCCGGAGGAGAAAGATTGGATACTGGTTACTTGCTAGGTAATGCTAAGGGGCCACTTGAGGTTGGTCATGAACATGGTGCCTGGCTGGCTCAGTTGCCAGAGCCTGTGGTTCTTAATCTCAGGGTAGTGAGTTCAAGCCCATGTTGGGTGTGGAGTGTACTGGAAAAAAAAAAAAAAAAAAGTACTCTTTTTATCTGGCTTCTTTCATTTAGCATAATTAGTTTGAAATTGATCCATGTTGGGCGCCTGGGTGGCTCAGTTGGTTAAGTGACTGCCTTCGGCTCAGGTCATGATCCTGGAGTCCCGGGATCGAGTCCCACATTGAGCTACCTGCTTGGCAGGGAGTCTGCTTCTTCCTCTGACCCTCCTCCCTCTCATGCTCTCTGTCTCTCAAATAAATAAATAAAATCTTTAAAAAAAAAAAAGAAATTGATCCATGTTTTTTTTCTTTTATCAGTTCATTCCTTTATATTGCCAAATAGTATTCCATTACATAAATATACTACAATTCATCTATCTATTTATCTGTTGATGGACAGTTTTTTCAACTTATGGCTATTACAAATAATGCTCTTATGAACATTCACGTACCAGTCTTCATATAGACATAGACTTTCATTTTCCTTGGGGAAAAAAACCTAGGAGTGGAATGGCTAAATGGTATAGTAGATGAATATTTAACATTTTAAGAAATTTCCAAATGGTTTTCAAGTAATTGTAACATTTTGCATCAACTGCAACCTGTGTATGAGAGTTCTAATAACTCCTTCGAATATCTCTAATACATTTTGGCCAACACTTGGTATGATCAGTCTTTAATTTTAGCCGTTTTAATAGATGTGTGTTTGTATCCTATTGTGGTTTTATTTTGCATTTCCCTAATGACTATATATCTTCTTTGGTGAAATTGCTGTTCAAAACTTTTACCACTTTAAAGCAAAACAAGGTTGTTTATTTTCTTATTATTGAATTTTAAGAGTTCTTTATATATTCTGGATGCAAGTCTTTCATCAAATATATGATTAGCAAATATTTTCTCTCAGTCTGTGTCTTGTCTTTTCATTTCTTAACAGTGTCTTTTGGAGAGCATAAATTTTTAATTTTGATGAAGCCCAATTATTATTTTTTTCCCCTCTTAAGGATTATGCTTTTACTGTTGTATCTAGGAAATTTTCCCTTAACCCAAGGTCACAGAAATTTTCCATGTCTGTTTCAGAGAAGATATTTTAGCATTGGAGACCTTAACTGATTCAATTGAATTCTTACAGCTGTGTTATTACAGAGCCATGAGTAGGAACCATCTGTCCTGGTGCAGCCTCTAAGAAGAGGTCAACTTGACTATGTGTTCTTTTTATACTTCTTTCCAGGTCTAAGTTCATGACACCACCATTTCCTCATTAATATAAGCTTTAACATTTGAAATTACCTTTCACTCATCCTTCTCACCACGTTTTATATATTATTAATTATAAATATTGTTTTTTCTCTTTGGAATGGTGCTCAAAAGACATGAATTTGGGGCGTGTGGGTGGGTCAGTTGGTTAAGTGTCTGCCTTTGGCTCAGGTCATGATCCTAGAGTACATTGGGAAGCCATGTGAAGGCGATTGGTCATGGGGCTGAAATGATCTTCTTTTACATGGAAAAAAGAAAGGATTATTGTGTGAGATCTATGCATAGGGCCTGGTAAGGAGACTGATCACGGCTACTGTAGTCTGGAGGAGAGCTAGGAGTGAACTGGAGTGGGGGTAGCAAAGTCAAGGGAGAGAGGGAAATAGGTGTGTGATGTATATTTGGAAATGAGACATGTGCTCAGCTAGCCTTGTCCCTTTGCTGTCTTTTAAACATGGTTGCTCATTTTCATCCCTATAACTTTTTTTTGACTCTTATAAAAGTTCATTTAACAAAAAAGTTCAATATGAAAATGCACACGACCTGATTTTTACATTGTAGTAAAACAGGTACTATGGAGAGGAGACATGTGGAAGCAGTTGATTTCTTCTGATGAACACACCCATTGTTCATACTTGTTCCAAGGCTTCTAACATGATGATACTATTTCCTCCTATTACCACCATCCCAATATTGCTCTATGGCCCACTAGTTGCCATCTCCACACATTCATCTATCACAAGATTCACAAACAGATCAAACCCCCACAATATTCCTTGGACAAGTCTGCCACCATTTAATTTCAATGATAATTTCTTGTCCATAAATTTTTTCAACTCGAGAGGGTGAGCTTTGCTCATGGTGTCTACTCAGTGAGCTCAAAGATGCCTCTTTATAATTTTTTTTAAAGATTTTATTTATTTATTTATTGAGAGAGAGTGAGCACAAGTGGGGGGAGGGACAGAAGGAGAGGGAGAAGGAGACTCCCCGATGAGCAGGGAGCCTGCCACTTGGTGTGAAATCAAGCCCGCCTGGCTTGATTCCAGGACCCTGAGATCATGACGGGAGCCTAAGGCAGATGCTTAACCGTCTGAGCCACTCACGTGCCCCCATCCCTATACCTTTTCTCACTTAACTAAAGTCCCATGTCAAGTCTCTTTTCCTTCATTCAATATTCTCTTGAATAGAAATTCTCTGAACTTCTAAAACAATCCATTCTGCAATGATTTCACTTTTGTTAGTTTTGTCTTCTCACAGATTGTAAGATCCCTGACAGCAACACCCTATTCTTTGTCTCCACACCACATAACATGATTCTAAGCCCACAATATAGGGATAGTAAATAAGTAATTGATGAATAACATGGCATCTCATAAAAACCAAGTGATCAAAGAAGAATAGATAAAAACAAATTTTCAAAAATTGACCTAGGAAAGTCATCAGACCTCAAACAGGGCCATGCTGAGGAAACTGGTTTACTATAATCCACTACCAGAAACTTGTCACAGTGCAGGCGAGACACAAAGCTAGAGTTTTGTAGGATAACTGGATGGAGTTCCTAGGCTCAGTCTTGGGTCATCCTGTTATGCTGTTGCAAGCTGCACGCTTGAGTTGTGGCTGAAGCAACTGAGAGAAGCTGGAGCTGCCGCAGTGTTACAGTTCTTTCAATCTGTAGGAAACTCTTTTTTTAAATGTTCAATATTGCTGAGAAAATCCAAGAGGACATTGTGTGGCTCCGCAGAACACCACATGGTGATGTAAACTAAATCGCTCTAAAGAGGGTCAAGGAAAATTACAATTATTCCAAGACTTAAATCTTGTGAAAGGTAGTTAGAAACAAAAGAATTATGGTGTTGAATAGCTATGTATAGGAAGAGATTTCACACTAAGTACTAAATGTATTTTAACAAATGCCATCCAACCTATTTGATTGTGTAATTTTCTGGAAGAATTACCTAGTACAGGCATGTTTTCTGTATGTCTTCATTGATCCATGGACAGGATAAGCCATAGATAATTAAGGGTGAAATTGTATATGTATCAACTGTAAAAAAATAAGAGAAATAAAAATCCACAGTCTTCAAACTCACCATTAAGACTCCTTTCATCTCATAGCTCACTAGCAAATTGAGTATATAAAGCACCTCTCACACAGAAAGTCAGAGAGCAAAGCACTAAAGCAAAATAAATACCAGTGATTAAGGAAAATTGAAAGCAGCAGTAAAAATATGTTTCTTTAGTCTACTTTTAAATACAGATTGG